TCCACAAGCCATACCCAGTGGCTGCCAGAAACACTACCCAGCTTTTTATGTAGCCAAGGGGGTAGGATAAGAAAGTTCAAAGTTCCAGTATGTGCGGGACACTCGCTCCTATACCATCAGAGTTTAATGGTAGCAAGGGGGATTGTGGGTCAGTATTAAAAATTCCATTGACAATTTTTGCTCATGTATGCCCTAAGTACAGGCATATGAAAATATATATTTTTTGAGGGCTTCCACTTTTTACTTTATATACATCTGTGTTTGATTATCTTATAATGAGTAAAAGATATGTGATTTTTAAAATAATGTAAGCTTTAAAAAAATATACCCAGGGCAGTGCCCATAGATCAGCCAGTAGGGCACCAGCCACATACACCGTAACTGGTGGGTTCCAACCCAGCCTGGGCCAGCTAAAACAACAAAGACAACAACAACAACAACAACAAATAGCCAGGCATTGTGGCAGGGGCCTGTAGTCCCAGCTACTTGGGAGGCTAAGGCAAGAGAATCGCTTAAGTCCAAGAGTTTGAGGTTGCTGTGAGCTGCGACTACACAGCACTCTACCCAAGGCGACAGCTTGAGACTCTGTCTCAGTAAATAAATAAATAAATATATATATATATGTATATACACACACAAGTGTTTCACAAGTGTTGAAGACGAAATCTAGAATTACTTTCATTTAGGATTGAGTTAAAATCTCGATGGAGGGAGAGGGGAAAGAATAGCCATTAAACACATAGAAAGATGTTCAACGTTGTTAACCAGGGAAATGCAAATCAAAACCCCAATATGACCTCATACCCACTAAGATGGCTGTTACTGAAAAAAAGTCAGGAAATAACAAGTATTGATAAGGATGTGGAGAAACGGGAACCCTTGGCCTTTGCTGATGAGAACGCAAAATGATGCAGCTACTATGGAAATAGTCTGATGATCCCTCTACAAACGTAGAATTACTATATAATCTAGAAATTCCACTTCTGGGACTATACCTACAACAATTGAAATCAGGGCCAGAACAGGTATTTGTATAGAGCAGTCAAATTCAGAGACAGTAGGGCGGCGGGGCGGGGTGGGGAGTTTGTGCTCGATGGTAAAGAGTTTTAGGTGTGAAGATGAGAAAGTTCCGGAGACGAACGGTGGTGATGGCAGCACAACAATGAGGATGTACTTAATGCCACTGAACCA